AGCAAGGCCCCACTTGGCGCGAAATCGTTGCGCCCACAATCGTAGATAGCGGCCGGGCCGGCCACGCCGGCCATCACGACCAAGCATGGAGCTCTGCAGCGCTGGCTGCTGCCCTCCTGCACGCCGCCGATATTCGGCTGCGACGTTGTAAGTTGGCACGGCAACGCCGCGGCTGTAATTCATGTCTTGCACCCAGCGCGAAGTCTGAAGTCCTGCTACATGCCTTTCAGCTTCGGCCAAGATGCGCTCATCAGCGGGCGCCTCCGGCCAGCAGAGTCGCACCATCTCCTCCTCTGGCAAGGAGTTGAACCACTCAACAACATCAGGAGTCGGCTGCCCCTGGCAAGATTTCCGTTTGCGTTGAAGAACCTCCACAAAGCCTTGCGCCGCATCCACGCAGAAGCCGCTGCACATGTACACAGTGAGAACAAGCTTCTTCTGGCGTGGGGTTAGGCCAGCTCTCTCCAAATGCCAAGCTTCCCTTTGCTGTCGCTTCTGGAGCCGGGCTATCTCCTTTCTTAAGTCCGCCATCGGCCAGGGACTGGCTTGAAGCTGGCAACCCTGCCGTCTGAAGCACATACACACACTGCTGTCCGAAATGCGCCCAAATGCAGAGATACAGAGACGCCCGCGCACACACACACACAACCTTGCAAATCCACCGACACTGCTTCTGCGCGCAGAGCTGCCGACTGAGCACGCTGGAAACATCTTGTTTATAACCGCTGGGCGCGCACAGGAGAGGAACTAGAATTCGTCCGCGCAAGGCAGGCGTGAACACGGACCCCGAAAGTGCCCCCCTGCAGCGCTCATCGCTGGCAACACTTGACGGACAGGCGCGCGCCACGAAGACCAACCAAATACGAGACACACACGCGCACGTTACCGCGTTACGCAGCACCGAGTAACTAAAACTAAGTCTGCGCCGAAGGCGCGGAGAAATAAGGTGAGCCTGGGAACCCAAAAGCAAGTCCACAAAGTGCCCCCCCACTGATGGCTCCGAAAAGTGGCGCTCGAAGATCTTTGTTCCGATCTTGGATCGCAAGCCTCGCACTTAAAAACCTGCCGGCCACCGGTTGCAACCCAGGCTCCCATCGCGGAAAACTTCGACTACACGAGAACCCATCGCATCAGAGATGCTTTTGGGAGAAAAAAAGCAGGCACGTCCGCGCCGAAGGCGCGGAGGAAAAAAAACAGCACTGACAAGGGACTGGCTGGCAGGGACTACGCCAAGTCTCATTGAAACATGTAACATACCGCTTTGAAACAGCCTGCTTCAAGCGCGCGGGCCAACATGCTGGAGCTAACAAATTCCAATAAGAAACCTGCTGGGAGCTACAAAAATCTACAGAAAGCTATAGAAAGCTAACAGACAACTAACAAAAGCTAAAAAAGGCTAACGCAGCAACTGTGCAGCAAAAAATCCAACAAGGCTTTCAAGAGCATGAACTGGCAACAAAAAGAAAATGCCTCGTTATGAGGCAGTCCACCCTTAACCCCGCGCCATGTTTGGAAGAACGTTCACTTGGGCGGCTGGGTGGCTGGGTCGCTTGCCTCCGTCCCCAAGATACGTTCAGTTGCTTGCGCGCAGCCGGGCCTCTTACAAAGCACCTATGGAGACACCGCAGAACAATCCCTAGTCTTCGCTGGCCCCTGAACTGCTCGCCTGGCCATTTCTGCAAACATGCTACTGCTTCTCAGCTAAAACGCTCATGGCGCGCGATGGGTTTTGTGTCACATTTCACGCATTAAGGCAGCCCAGCGTGACAAAAGTGTTTGCTGCCTCCCCCCCCCCCCCAAAACCTGCTGAAGTTTACAAAAAGGCAACAAATGGCGCCAGAAGCTACGAAAAGCTAACAAACTCTAACAAAAGCTAACAAAAGCTAACAAATGCAAAAAAATGCTAACAAATGTGGCAGCCTTTGCTGCCGGACTGGCGCTTTTCAGTAAGGCGGATTTTTTGGCAGCCTTTGCTGCCGGACTGGCGCTTTTCAGTAAGGCGGATTTTTTGGCAGCCATTGCTGCCGGACTGGCGCTTTTCCGTAAGGCGGATTTTTTTGGCAGCCTTTGCTGCCGGACTGGCGCTTTTCCGTAAGGCGGATTTTTATTTTTTTTTGGCAGCCTTTGCTGCCGGACTGGCGCTTTTCGGTAAGGCGGATTTTTTGGGCAACCTTTGCTGCCGGACTGGCGCTTTTCCGTAAGGCGGATTTTTTGGGCAGCCTTTGCTGCCGGACTGGCGCTTTTCGGTAAGGCGGATTTTTTGGGCAGCCTTTGCTGCCGGACTGGCGCTTTTCCGTAAGGCGGATTTTTTGGGCAGCCTTTGCTGCCGGACTGGCGCTTTTCAGCAAGGCGGATTTTTTGGGCAACTTTTGCTGCCGGACTGGCGCTTTTCCGTAAGGCGGAATTTTTGGGCAGCCTTTGCTGCCGGACTGGCGCTTTTCGGTAAGGCGGAGTTTTTGGGCAGCCTTTGCTGCCGGACTGGCGCTTTTCCGTAAGGCGGATTTTTTGGGCAGCCTTTGCTGCCGGACTGGCGCTTTTCAGCAAGGCGGATTTTTTGGGCGGCTTTTGCTGCCGGACTGGCGCGTTTCCGTAAGGCGGATTTTTTGGCAGCCTTTGCTGCCGGACTGGCGCTGTTTCCGTAAGGCGGAATTTTTGGGCAGCCTTTGCTGCCGGACTGGCGCTTTTCCGTTAGGCGGATTTTTTGGGCAGCCTTTGCTGCCGGGCAGCCTTTGCTGCCGGACTGGCGGTTTTCAGCAGGGCGGATTTTTTGGCAGCCTTTGCAAGCTACCAGCTTGCAAGGCCTGCTGCCCAGGCGGTGGGCCTGGCCAGCGCAGAACAGTGAAATTGAGGCTGTGCAACCGAGCAACTTCGGAGCAATAAAGAAAAAGTTTTGTTGGACAGTTTTTTTCTGCTTGACAAGGTTGCTCGGTTGCTCTCTGAAATTTTCGCAATGTACAGAAATTCGCCTGAGACCAGTCCGCGCAAAGCTGGGCCAAGGTCCCCAAAAATCCGGAGCAATGAAAACTAACCCTCCACCAAGGCTTTCTGAGACCCGAGGCAGTTAAAGAACTAGCCCCTCGGGGGCTGTGTCTGTTCATCACACTTTCACCAACAATCCCAGGGCCTTCACCAACAGGATTATCGCAGGAATAGATCCGGGGCCTACAAAATCCATTACCAATCCGGACCACAGGGGCCAACGCAACCCAAGATCGGATTGCTTCTTCCAGCTTGGTTGGACAAAGCGCGGCAGCGCTCACTTGAGCCAAAAGCGAAAAACCAACCAACCAATACAGGCGGGCGACCACACTCCCCCCGAAATTCGGCAACCCAAAGAATTTGATTTCTCGTGAGGTGCTGAAGGAGTCGTTCAATCCAATCTGTGGCTTTATGGTCAAGGCTAGGACGGTATCTGCTTCTTTCGACCCCCTACCTTTCGTTCTTGATCAATGAAAACATCCTTGGCAAATGTTTTCGCAGAAGTCCGCCTTTAACAAATCCAAGAACGTCACAGTGAAATACGAATGCCCCCAACTATCCCTCTCGATCTGCACCATTGACTGGTGGCACAGTGTGTTTTCTTCTCGCAGGAAAGACGGTTGTTTCCAGAAATCGAGCCAAGTCTTGCCTGCACGGAAGCAGACGTGCAGGAATAACCAGATAGGACCTCAGTTCCCTTTTGCAAGCGTGCGCAGGCTTCATCTTCATGATGGGCATCCAAGTCTGAGTCTTGTACGTCTCTTTGCAGGCAACAACACGCTTGCTGGCAAAAATGTACCCAAGGTAAAACCTTAAACGCCGTGCCACACAATGAAGCGCTGGCACGATCTCCAGTAAGATGTCAAAGCAGAGCCAGATGTGCACCCTAGCCAAAAATCAAATTGCCTCGATGGCCTAACTTTCGTTCTTGATCAATGAAAACATGCTTGGCAAACGCCTTTGCGGCAGCCCGTCTTCAACAAATCCAAGACTTTCACCTCTGACAAACAAAACCAGTGAGGGTAACAGGTTTACGCCGCTGCGCGCACACACATGCATGCGCCCACGCGCGCGCGCGCATGTTCCGCGTAAGCAACAAAACAAGCGAGGGTAACTGGTTTACGCCGCTGCGCGCGCACATGCATGCGCCCACGCGCGCGCACCCGCGCGCGCGCATGTTCCGCGTAAGCAACAAAACAAGCGAGGGTAACTGGTTTACGCCGCTGCGCGCGCACACATGCATGCGCCACTGCGCGGCGCACATCACACCTAACTCGCAGCCACGCTGCTGCACCGCGCACGTCCGGCAAGCAACAAAACCAATGTTTATTGTGTGGGGGGCGTTTAACGGTTTCGCCGCTCTGCGCGTGCGCACACGTGCAAGCGCCACGCCGCACGCCAGACGTTCGCTGCCACGCGCGCGGCTGCGCGCGCACGCGCTTTTCCAGCGTATGCAACAACAAAACAAAGTGAGGGTAACGGGTTTACGCCGCTGCTGCCGCGCACTACACACGCGTTTTGCCTATGCGCAGCCACACGCGCGCGCACGCGCCCGCGCAAGCACGAACACACTTGCACAGCGACGCCAAGCAAGAGGCACTGTGTAGGCCAGAAGCCTTGCTACTTAGCCCTTACTTAGCCCTTAACCAGGGCTCTCTCATGCACCTGGGACCAAAGCAGTTGAAACAACGCCAACACGCGCGGGAAGCCTGCGCGCGTCAATGGCAAAAGCATTGAAAGCAACGCCGATATGCGCGGGGGAAGTCCGTGAGCGCTACTGACTGCACCCTATCACAACTGTCGCAAGGACGTCAACTCCGACGTATCAACTGCGGGAGCTCCAACACCCTTTCAGCCAGCAAGCAGAACCACCTGCACACGCCCGCACAATGCACCCGAGGACATCTGGCCGGACAAAGACCTAAACAAAAAGCACGCCTTTTGCGCGGCGTGTAACATGCTCCGGCAATGGGCTTACGTCTTTGCAGCCAATGCCAACCGGGAGTCCTTGCGTTGCAACACTATTGCAAATCACGGCGGGCGTGCAGAGGGCTCACCTCCACCCAACCGCTGCCTTTGACGGCTTGCGAAACGATGGGGGGCGTCCTTGGAGGCGGGTACGGTGGGGTCCACGGCTCAGGCGTTCGTGGAGCAGGCAGCATCTCCACATGGGAAGGCACCAAGGGCTGGCTCGGCTGGTTGCCTTCTTCCGGTCCCGGGAACTCCTCCGCCGGTGCCGGTGAAGAAGCAACGGCCGGCTCGAGCCGGGGGCGAACTCGTCGATCTTGGAAAGGTTCGGAGCCATCGCCTTTAAGCTCCTCGGCGGGATTCAACTCGTCTAGCTGCGCTGGCTGAGGCCGAACCGCTGCACCGGATGGCTGCAACTGCGATGAACGCGGGTCAGCAGACTGCGCGGCCAGCAACGGCTGGGTCGTGGCCCCTGAAAGTTCTTCTTCTTCTTCTTGCAAAGCGGGCACCCTTGAATCCTCTTGGCAGATGGCCGATTCCAGCGCTGCGTGCTTCTCATCCACCCAGTCTGAGTAGCAACGCACGCAGCGGTAGCACATCTTCATTTGCGAATCCTTCATTGAAGACGGAATGCTGCATTTCAGATGCCACCGCAAGGCAAACCGATTGTGGAAGGCATCCTTCTCGGCAACATTGGGGCGACCATTCGCATCTAGCGGCGCAACGCGCTCCTGGCACGTGATGAGAAAAGGCGGCGGCTCGGAAATGACCACCGACGCCGAGCCCTTGCAAGCAGCTACCACAGCTTCGCCCTCCAGAAGCAAGAGCAGGGTGTCCCAGGCCACCGGGCAGGAATTCTGCCTGCGCGACACAGATTGACAGTCGCGGCGGCGTTCGTCCGCTCACAACTGGCCCCCCAACGGCCCTCCCTTTAAAAGCTAGCAGCCACCTCTAAAAACAAAGCCCCTGGCCTCCAATCCTGCCAGCAGCTGATCAGCTTGTCCTGCAACGACTCTAAGGGGAACGTGTCGCCCTTGTTAGGACGCATCCAGCAGCGGTGAGAAAACATAGCCATCAACGGCCTTGTGAGGGCAGTCTTCCCCGCATTGGAAGCCCCGCAAAGCAAGATGTTGCAATTCTTGGCCGCTGTCCCAATGCGGATAAGCCGTTTGACGAAGTAGCCAAACCTCTCACCATCCTTCTCGTGCAGCTCCATCAAGGCATCCAGGCCAGACCTCAAGCGGCCTGGCGTTGTGCAAGAACAGGGCGCCTGCCTTGAAGCCTGCCAGTATCGCAATCGCTCCTCCCGTTGCGACTTTTGGCTCACAGGCTTAGCCATGAGCTGCTTCCATGCCTTGAAGAGCCCAGACATCTTGCCACCTTGCCTGGTCATAAACTCCAAGTATTGAGGCACCCCGTGCTTCTGCTGGGACTGCGCCCAGACAATGAGGTCGTTGTAGGTCTCGATGCTCGGGTGTCTTCGCAAGACTTGGAAAAAATCCCATGGCCTCAGAACTTGTGTTCTGGCAAGCTTCCCGCGGAGCCGCTTCTCCATGTCAATAATGGGGAAGTTTGAGCTCAGCAAGGGATCGGGATCAAGTTCTGGCAAGGGCTTCCTGGCAGAAGGCACATAGCAATACGCTACAATGCGCCAGATATCTGCACACCTGGTCGGCAAGGACAAATGCCCGAAGATGCCCCTGGCGCGCAGCTCGCGGGCAATCTGAATCCACCGGACACGGCCCTTCAGCTTCAAGACCACATGGTAGTGAGCCTTGCGCTCCCAGCTTCGTGAGGATTCAGCATGCAGTTCCCGGAAAACAGCGTAGAATTCCAAAGCCTCGCCGTAGACTTCTCGAAAACGCCGCAGCATGCCCTTCTTGGATGTGTTTTCTGCAGTCAAACGGCCCTCGATGGCTGAGTACGGGATCGTCCAGAAATGGACTGTGTGGCCTCGGTAGCTCAGGTCTGGCTTTGCTGCCGACATGTTCGCAAATCGGTCGCAGCCTTCATCGTCACTGCTAGCACCTTCCTCCAAATCCAAGACTTCCTCCTCAGCGACATGCTCGGGCACTTCTGAAGATGCCAGGGAATCAGAACTTGTGGAGCTACTGCTGCTGCTTCTAGTGAAGGAGCCACTGCTACCGCTCATCGCGCACAAGGGCACTGGGCTGCGGCCAGTCACCCTTCCCCGGGGCTGCAGCCAGTCACCCTTCCCCGTGCCCCAACCTAACAATGATTTGAGCCGGAATCCACAATCCAACGTCACGAACTTCCACCGTCACATCAATGATGCAGAATGATGCAGAATCTCTTTGCGCGCGCGTAAGAGGCCTAAGCACACTGCCAGCCCCGCCACAAGTCCAGCCCATAAACGCAAGACATCGTAACATCCTCGCAGGGGTGACATCCTCGCAGAGGGCTCCCAGCCAGGCGCTTTCCACGGCGCTTCCTCTCGAAAAGGGCCTTGCAAGGACTTGGCCCCGGACACGCGCGCGCACCGCCGGGCAGAGGAAAGCGCACAGGCTGCGCCTACTTTCCCACCCTGGACCGCGTGGCCGCCAAACCTCTATCTGCCCGGCCACACGCTCCTCACCTCCACATCATGGTCTTGGTGGGGGGGAAGGGGGAGGGGAGCTGCGGTGGCCCCTGTGGAAGGACGGTCAGCTTGAGCGCGGAGCTCCGCTACCACAGAGCACAAGCTGAATAACAACGCCGACACGCGCGTGGAAGTCCAGCCCGCGCGGGTCACTGACTGCCACCCTGTCAAAGCTCCCGTGTGCCACATTCTGACCCGTTGGGGGAAGGGAGCTGCATTGGCCTGTGGAAGGACCGTCAGCTCGAGCGCGAAGCTCCGCTACCCAAAAACAACGCCAACCCCGTGAGCACCGCTGCCTGCCACCCTATCACAGCTGTCGCAAGCCACATTCTGTGAGCCCAAGCAGATCCGACCGTTCCGGACGGACAAACACACACACACACACACGCTAAGGAACAAGGCCATGCCCAAGCCTCACACACACACACACTCTCTCTCTCTCTCTGGGAAACGCACGAACACAGAAGAAGGGGAAAAAGGGGAAGCGTCAGGGCTTCCTTTCAAAACTGCGCACATGGCTCACACTGCAAATATTCTGTCAAACATGCGTCGCCTGCTCCACACAAACAATCGGACAGTTGCAGCTCACACGCGCCTCACACCGCCAAAACGCCAAAACGTGCGAGAAAATGGCTTCAAAGCAAAGGCTTGAACAAGTTTGGCCACGCCCAAGCACAAATACTTCATCACACAGGCACGCAATTAAGCGCTCTGCGCAAACACACCCACGCGAGCAAGAACCCTGCACGCGGTCAAGAAACCAAACATGCCATGTCTGCTCATGCCACGCACTGTGAAAACGCCAAAGCATGGTTGACTGACATCCGTCTGACCACGCTTACTCAAACAAATGCCACGCGCCAACTTCTTTTTCAACTTTACAGCGCCGCATCGCCGTTGCACTTTCTGGCAACGCCAGCAGCAGCCACAAGAGGAAAACAAGCGCAAAGCTCAGAGAGCCACTTGGTCTTCATCTCCAGGCATTCAGCACACGTGAAAATCACACAGCCACAATTGGTCTTGATCTCCAGGCATTCGGCATAGGCGAAACTCACACAGGCGTCTTGGTTTTAATCTCCAGGCATTCGCGCATCTCCGACTCTGTCAAGCGCCCAAGGGCCTTCTTAATTTTGGCCAGGCGTTTCGCTTCCTTGCGGACTTGCTTGGCAACTTGCCGCTCGGCTGCGAGCATCGAACGCTTCTCTTTCAGCTTTTGCAAGACTGATTGAGTGGCAGAAGCTGTGGCAGACGCTGATGCTGGAGCTTTCTCCTTCAACTTCTCCTTCTCCTCTGGCAACTTTTCCTGGCTTGATGTAAAGGCAGGAGCCGCAGGAGGCGCTGGAGCGTTGGATCCTTCCATGGGCTGTGTCCTGCAGGCTTCGCAGTTTCTGAGCTTCACGCTGCAAGCAACACATCGCAATCACCTTGCTTGCCAAAGTTGCTTCACAATCTGCACGCAACAGGCCTGCAGCCCAAACATAAGCTGGATTCATTTTACCCCCGGCGGCGCTGCGTTGCCGTTGCGCTTTCTGGCAACGCCGGCAGCAGCCACAGCGGCAGCCCCAACAGGAAAACAAGCGTGAAACGCAGCCTTCCTGGTCTTGATCCCCAGGCATTCGCGCAACTCCGACTACACGTCCAACGCTCAAACGGTTGCGTGATCTTGGCCTGGCATCCCTTTCCTTTCCTCTGGCAACTTACAAGCAAATGGCATGTGCGCGGTAAAGCGGACCCGAAATCGGTCCCCGAAAATGGCCCTGTTTCGCAGACACACGCTAGATCCTCCACTGTGCATGACGGTACGCCCTGCGCTTACTGCACACATGGAACAAGCCCTTAGTCTAAGACCGGGAGCGTTGGCTGCAACAGCAAATAAAACTGACGGACCAGGCTCTTAGAGTAGTGGCCAGCAAAAATGTGAGGTTCTGGCATGGGCACAACTCCGCCTACGGCGGCTGCCCTGTAGTTTGCAAGACCTAGCCTAGAAAGCTCTGTGGAAAGGTTGCCCCGGCCACAAATGCCACATGCTTCAAAGCCTCTTCGCCACTCTCGGCTGTTCATAAACTCGCACAGGCCGAAGAGCACGCGAAGCCACGCTTGTCGCGAGACAACACCGCCTGCGGCAGACATAGCCACCTCCGTGAACTTGTCTTTCAGATGATGTTTCAAAAGACTGAAGGTTTGCACATCGAGGGGTTGCATGTAGCTTGTGGCTTTCGGCGGCACCACGCAAAGCCAGATATTGGCATCGGCAGCCCTTCGCACCACGCGTTCACTCAGGTGCTGCGCGGCGCTGTCCATCACAACGCACAGCTGCTTGGAAGGAAACGAAGCAGCCAGAGTCTCCAGATCTGACAACCACCTCGGGTGATCTACTGGCTAGTTTGCCCAGGATGATGTTCACGAAAAACCGGAATGTTCTCTGACTGCGCGGTCTGCGCACAGCCCGCAAATCTTTTTGCAATAGAATATGGGATTTGTTTCTTCAACCAAGTATTGGTGTAATCTGTGTACGTTGGCGCAGCGCGTTTGACAGTGCAGGGTCTGCCGACTCAAACATAATCAAAGTCACAGCGCTCGTAGACGGTGCTGCGCCCCCGCTTTGGCCCCACTCCTTTGTCGCCATTGAGACCGCTTCACCACCGTGCCTTTCTCGTGCAGAAAGGATAGCTGAAGAGAAGACTCATCCAGGTTGACAAAGGCCAATTCTTTGTGGAACACTCCAGCTTGCTGCTCAAGCCAGTCTATCCAATGGAAAAACAGCTTTGCCTGGCAGGGCGCGGGGGCGCATTTTGAGCCAGTTTTGGCGGGGCGGGTTTTGGCCCCCCGCAAGAGATTTCGTCTTTCGGGAAGACCAGAAGCGGGGGGCATGTTTTTGCCCCCCGCAAGAGATTTCCTCTTTTGGGAAGAGCAGGAAGAAGGGTCAAAAATTAGCCCCCCCCCCGGCGTCTTCAAGGCAAAGGTCGCTTGAAAAGATAACATGCGCAAGCACGCGTGTTTGTTCCGGCCCAGCCTTCTCCACAAGTTCCTCGGCAGGGAGAAAAGAGCATGCCGGGATACGTTGGTAAGCAAGGCCCCACTTGGCGCGAAATCGTTGCGCCCACAATCGTAGATAGCGGCCGGGCCGGCCACGCCGGCCATCACGACCAAGCATGGAGCTCTGCAGCGCTGGCTGCTGCCCTCCTGCACGCCGCCGATATTCGGCTGCGACGTTGTAAGTTGGCACGGCAACGCCGCGGCTGTAATTCATGTCTTGCACCCAGCGCGAAGTCTGAAGTCCTGCTACATGCCTTTCAGCTTCGGCCAAGATGCGCTCATCAGCGGGCGCCTCCGGCCAGCAGAGTCGCACCATCTCCTCCTCTGGCAAGGAGTTGAACCACTCAACATGAGGAGTCGGCTGCCCCTGGCAAGATTTCCGTTTGCGTTGAAGAACCTCCACAAAGCCTTGCGCCGCATCCACGCAGAAGCCGCTGCACATGTACACAGTGAGAACAAGCTTCTTCTGGCGTGGGGTTAGGCCAGCTCTCTCCAAATGCCAAGCTTCCCTTTGCTGTCGCTTCTGGAGCCGGGCTATCTCCTTTCTTAAGTCCGCCATCGGCCAGGGACTGGCTTGAAGCTGGCAACCCTGCCGTCTGAAGCACATACACACACTGCTGTCCGAAATGCGCCCAAATGCAGAGATACAGAGACGCCCGCGCACACACACACAACCTTGCAAATCCACCGACACTGCTTCTGCGCGCAGAGCTGCCGACTGAGCACGCTGGAAACATCTTGTTTATAACCGCTGGGCGCGCACAGGAGAGGAACTAGAATTCGTCCGCGCAAGGCAGGCGTGAACACGGACCCCGAAAGTGCCCCCCTGCAGCGCTCATCGCTGGCAACATTGACGGTCAGGCGAGCGCCACGTAAGACCAACCAAAATACGGAGTCACACACGCGCTCGTTACCAGCCGTTACGCGTTAGATCCGAGTAACTTAAACTTTAGGTCTGCGACGAAGGGCGCGGGGAGATATTAAGGTGAGCCTGGGAAATCCAATAGAAGTCCACATAGTGCACCCCCCCACTGTTGGCTCCGATAAAGTGGGCTCGATGATCTTTGTTTCCGATCTTGGATCGAAGCCTCGCACTTAAAAACTGCCGGCCACCCGGTTGCAAACCCAGGCTCCCATCGCGGAAAAACTTCGACTACACGAGGAACCATGGCGCATCAGAGATGCTTTTGGGAGAAAAAAAGCAGGCACGTCCGCGCCGAAGGCGCGGAGGAAAAAAAACAGCACTGACAAGGGACTGGCTGGCAGGGACTACGCCAAGTCTCATTGAAACATGTAACATACCGCTTTGAAACAGCCTGCTTCAAGCGCGCGGGCCAACATGCTGGAGCTAACAAATTCCAATAAGAAACCTGCTGGGAGCTACAAAAATCTACAGAAAGCTATAGAAAGCTAACAGACAACTAACAAAAGCTAAAAAAGGCTAACGCAGCAACTGTGCAGCAAAAAATCCAACAAGGCTTTCAAGAGCATGAACTGGCAACAAAAAAAAAATGCCTCGTTATGAGGCAGTCCACCCTTAACCCCGCGCCATGTTTGGAAGAACGTTCACTTGGGCGGCTGGGTGGCTGGGTCGCTTGCCTCCGTCCCCAAGATACGTTCAGTTGCTTGCGCGGAGCCGGGCCTCTTACAAAGCACCTATGGAGACACCGCAGAACAATCCCTAGTCTTCGCTGGCCCCTGAACTGCTCGCCTGGCCATTTCTGCAAACATGATACTGCTTCTCAGCTAAAACGCTCATGCCGCGCGATGGGTTTTTGTGTCAAATTTCCCGCATTAGGCAAGCCCTATGCGTGACAAAGTGTTGCAGCCTCCCCCCCCAAAACCTGCTGAAGTTTACAAAAAGGCAACAAATGGCGCCAAAAGCTCCGAAAAGCTAACGAACTCTAGCAAAAGCTAACAAAAGCTAACAAATGCTAAAAAAATCTAACAAATGTGGCAGCCTTTGCTGCCGGACTGGCGCTTTTCAGTAAGGCGGATTTTTTGGCAGCCTTTGCTGCCGGACTGGCGCTTTTCAGTAAGGCGGATTTTTTGGCAGCCTTTGCTGCCGGACTGGCGCTTTTCAGTAAGGCGGATTTTTTGGCAGCCGTTGCTGCCGGACTGGCGCTTTTCCGTAAGGCGGATTTTTTTTTTTTTTTTTTTTTGCTGCCCTTTGCTTGGGCTGGACTGGCGCTTTTCGGTTAGGCGGATTTTTTGGCAGGCGGATTTTTTGGCAACCTTTGCTGCCGGATACTGAAGTTATAGGTTACCGTATTTTCTGTTCACTCATTTCCTGGGCGCTTTTCGTAAGGCGGATTTTTTTGGGCAGCCTTTGCTGCGGACTGGGGCTCTTTTCGGTATAGGCGGATAAAATATTTTTTAGGGCAGGCCTTTGCTGACCGGACTGGCGCTTTTCCGTAAGGCGGATTTTTTGGGCAGCCTTTGCTGCCGGACTGGCGTTTTTCAGCAAGGCGGATTTTTTGGGCAACTTTTGCTGCCGGACTGGCGCTTTTCCGTAAGGCGGAATTTTTGGGCAGCCTTTGCTGCCGGACTGGCGCTTTTCGGTAAGGCGGATTTTTTGGGCAGCCTTTGCTGCCGGACTGGCGCTTTTCCGTAAGGCGGATTGTTTGGGCAGCCTTTGCTGCCGGACTGGCGCTTTTCAGCAAGGCGGATTTTTTGGGCGGCTTTTGCTGCCGGACTGGCGCTTTTCCGTAAGGCGGATTTTTTGGCAGCCTTTGCTGCCGGACTGGCGCTTTTTCCGTAAGGCGGAATTTTTGGGCAGCCTTTGCTGCCGGACTGGCGCTTTTCCGTAAGGCGGATTTTTTGGGCAGCCTTTGCTGCCGGGCAGCCTTTGCTGCCGGACTGGCGGTTTTCAGCAGGGCGGATTTTTTGGCAGCCTTTGTAAGCTACCAGCTTGCAAGGACTGCTGCCCAGGCGGTGGGCCTGGCCAGCGCAAAACAGTGAAATTGAGGCTGTGCAACCGAGCAACTTCGGAGCAATAAAGAAAAAGTTTTGCTGGACAGTTTTTTTCTGCTTGACAAGGTTGCTCGGTTGCTCTCTGAAATTTTCGCAATGTACAGAAATTCGCCTGAGACCAGTCCGCGCAAAGCTGGGCCAAGGTCACCAAGGCTTTCTGAAACCCGAGGCAGTTAAAAAACTAGCCCCTCGGGGGCTGTGTCTGTTAATCACACTTCCACCAAAAATCCCAGGGCCTTCACCAACAGGATTATCGCAGGAATAGATCCGAGGCCTACAAAATCCAGTACCAATCCGGACCACAGGGGCCGCAGCCGCAACGATCGGCTTGCTTCTTCCAGCTTGGTTGGACAAAGCGCGGCAGCGCTCACTTGAGCCAAAAGCGAAAAACCAACCAAAACAGGCGGGCGACCATACTCCCCCCGAAAATTTGGCAACCCAAAGAATTTGATTTCTCGTAAGGTGCTGAAGGAGTCGTTCAATCCAATCTGTGGCTTTATGGTCAAGGCTAGGACGGTATCTGCTTCTTTCGACCCCCTACCTTTCGTTCTTGATCAATGAAAACATCCTTGGCAAATGTTTTCGCAGAAGTCCGCCTTTAACAAATCCAAGAACGTCACAGTGAAATACGAATGCCCCCAACTATCCCTCTCGATCTGCACCATTGACTGGTGGCACAGTGTGTTTTCTTCTCGCAGGAAAGACGGTTGTTTCCAGAAATCGAGCCAAGTCTTGCCTGCACGGAAGCAGACGTGCAGGAATAGCCAGATAGGACCTCAGTTCCCTTTTGCAAGCGTGCGCAGGCTTCATCTTCATGATGGGCATCCAAGTCTGAGTCTTGTACGTCTCTTTGCAGGCAACAACACGCTTGCTGGCAAAAATGTACCCAAGGTAAAACCTTAAACGCCGTGCCACACAATGAAGCGCTGGCACGATCTCCAGTAAGATGTCAAAGCAGAGCCAGATGTGCACCCTAGCCAAAAATCAAATTGCCTCGATGGCCTAACTTTCGTTCTTGATCAATGAAAACATGCTTGGCAAACGCCTTTGCGGCAGCCCGTCTTCAACAAATCCAAGACTTTCACCTCTGACAAACAAAACCAGTGAGGGTAACAGGTTTACGCCGCTGCGCGCACACACATGCATGCGCCCACGCGCGCGCGCATGTTCCGCGTAAGCAACAAAACAAGCGAGGGTAACTGGTTTACGCCGCTGCGCGCGCACATGCATGCGCCCACGCGCGCGCACACGCGCGCGCGCATGTTCCGCGTAAGCAACAAAACAAGCGAGGGTAACTGGTTTACGCCGCTGCGCGCGCACACATGCATGCGCCCACGCGCGCGCACACACACTCGCAGCCACGCGCGCGCACGTTCCGCGCAAGCAACAAAACAAGTGAGGGTAACCGGTTTCCGCCGCTGCGCGCGCACACGTGCATGCGCCCACGCGCACGCCAGACGTTCGCAGCCACGCGCGCGCGCGCGCACGCGCCCGCGTAAGCAACAAAACAAGTGACGGTAACGGGTTTACGCCGCTGCGCGCGCACACACGCTCGCAGCCACACGCGCGCGCACGCGCCCGCGCAAGCACGAACACACTTCCACAGCGACGCCAAGCAAGAGGCACTGTGTAGGCCAGAAGCCTTGCTACTTAGCCCTTACTTAGCCCTTAACCAGGGCTCTCTCATGCACCTTAAACACCAAACCAGTTGAAACAACGCCAACACGCACGGGAAGCCTGCGCGCGTCAATGGCAAAAGCATTGAAAGCAACGCCGATATGCGCGCGGGAAGTCCGTGAGCGCTACTGACTGCCACCCTATCACAACTGTCGCAAGGACGTCAACTCCGACGTATCAACTGCGGGAGCTCCAACACCCTTTCAGCCAGCAAGCAGAACCACCTGCACACGCCCGCACAATGCACCCGAGGACATCTGGCCGGACAAAGACCTAAACAAAATGCACGCCTTTTGCGCGGCGTGTAACATGCTCCGGCAATGGGCTTACGTCTTTGCAGCCAATGCCAACCGGGAGTCCTTGCGTTGCAACACTATTGCAAATCACGGCGGGCGTGCAGAGGGCTCACCTCCACCCAACCGCTGCCTTTGACGGCTTGCGAAACGAGGGGGGGCGTCCTTGGAGGCGGGTACGGTGGGGTCCACGGCTCAGGCGTTCGTGGAGCAGGCAGCATCTCCACATGGGAAGGCACCAAGGGCTGGCTCGGCTGGTTGCCTTCTTCCGGTCCCGGGAACTCCTCCGCCGGTGCCGGTGAAGAAGCAACGGTCAATGTTTTGTGTTCTGTTACTCTTCTCCGGCTACGAGGCGGTGGCGAACTCGTCGATCTTGGAAAGGTGCGGAGCCATCGCCTTTTTTTTTTTTTTTTTTTTTTTTTTTATTTTTTTTTTGTTTTGTTTAAGTCCTCGGGCGGGATTTAAAGCGAGCGAGCAATGGCGCGGCTGAGGCGAACCGCAAGTCTTGCGCCTCGGTTCCTTGGCTTCCGAGAAGCAGACACCTTCAGTGCTCCCGGACACAGAGGGGACTGCGCGGCCAGCAACGGCTGGGTCGTGGCCCCTGAAAGTTCTTCTTCTTCTTCTTGCAAAGCGGGCACCCTTGAGTCCTCTTGGCAGATGGCCGATTCCAGCGCTGCAGTCTCTGCCTCGATGTCCGGGGCCTTCTCTGCATAGGCAGCGTGCTTCTCATCCACCCAGTCTGAGTAGCAACGCACGCAGCGGTAGCACATCTTCATTTGCGAATCCTTCATTGAAGACGGAATGCTGCATTTCAGATGCCACCGCAAGGCAAACCGATTGTGGAAGGCATCCTTCTCGGCAACATTGGGGCGACCATTCGCATCTAGCGGCACAACGCGCTCCTGGCACGTGATGAGAAAAGGCGGCGGCTCGGAAATGACCACCGACGCCGAGCCCTTGCAAGCAGCCACCACAGCTTCGCCCTCCAGAAGCAAGAGCAGGGTGTCCCAGGCCACCGGGCAGGAATTTTGCCTGCGCGACACAGATTGACAGTCGCGGCGGCGTTCGTCCGCTCACAACTGGCCCCCCAACGGCCCTCCTTTTAAAAGCTAGCAGCCACCTCTAAAAACAAAGCCCCTGGCCTCCAATCCTGCCAGCAGCTGATCAGCTTGTCCTGCAACGACTCTAAGGGGAACGTGTCGCCCTTGTTAGGACGCATCCAGCAGCGGTGAGAAAACATAGCCATCAACGGCCTTGTGAGGGCAGTCTTCCCCGCATTGGAAGCCCCGCAAAGCAAGATGTTGCAATTCTTGGCCGCTGTCCCAATGCGGATAAGCCGTTTGACGAAGTAGCCAAACCTCTCACCATCCTTCTCGCGCACCATCAAGGCATCCAGGCCAGACCTCAAGCGGCCTGGCGTTGTGCAAGAACAGGGCGCCTGCCTTGAAGCCTGCCAGTAGCGCAATCGCTCCTCCCGTTGCGACTTTTGGCTCACAGGCTTAGCCATGAGCTGCTTCCATGCCTTGAAGAGCCCAGACATCTTGCCACCTTGCCTGGTCATAAACTCCAAGTTTTGAGGCACCCCGTGCTTCTGCTGGGACTGCGCCCAGACAATGAGGTCGTTGTAGGTCTCGATGCTCGGGTGTCTTCGCAAGACTTGGAAAAAATCCCATGGCCTCAGAACTTGTGTTCTGGCAAGCTTCCCGCGGAGCCGCTTCTCCATGTCAATAATGGGGAAGTTTGAGCTCAGCAAGGGATCGGGATCAAGTTCTGGCAAGGGCTTCCTGGCAGAAGGCACATAGCAATACGCTACAATGCGCCAGATATCTGCACACCTGGTCGGCAAGGACAAATGCCCGAAGATGCCCCTGGCGCGCAGCTCGCGGGCAATCTGAATCCACCGGACACGGCCCTTCAGCTTCAAGACCACATGGTAGTGAGCCTTGCGCTCCCAGCTTCGTGAGGATTCAGCATGCAGTTCCCGGAAAACAGCGTAGAATTCCAAAGCCTCGCCGTAGACTTCTCGAAAACGCCGCAGCATGCCCTGCTTGGATGTGTTTTCTGCAGTCAAAAGGCCCTCGATGGCTGCGTGTACGGTATCGTCCAGAAATGGACCTGTGTGGCCTCGGTAGCTCAGGTCTGGCTTTGCTGCCGACATGTTCGCAAATCGGTCGCAGCCTTCATCGCCACTGCTAGCACCGTCCTCCAAATCCAAGACTTCCTCCTCGGCGGGATGCTCGGGCACTTCTGAAGATGCCAGGGAATCAGAACTTGTGGAGCTACTGCTGCTGCTTCTAGTGAAGGAGCCACTGCTACCGCTCATCGCGCACAAGGGCACTGGGCTGCGGCCCGTCACCTTCCCCGTTTTCTTTTTTTTGTGCCCCCAACCTACTGGGCTGCAGCCAGGTCACCCTTCCCCGTTTGCCAAAACCTAAACAATATTTGAGCCGGAAATCCACCAATCCCCAAGTCACGAACTTCCACCGTCACATCAATGATGCAGAATGATGCAGAATCTCTTTGCGCGCGCGTAAGAGGCCTAAGCACACTGCCAGCCCCGCCACAAGTCCAGCCCATAAACGCAAGACATCGTAACATCCTCGCAGGGGTGACATCCTCGCAGAGGGCTCCCAGCCAGGCGCTTTCCACGGCGCTTCCTCTGGAAAAGGGCCTTGCAAGGACTTGGCCCCGGACACGCGCGCGCACCGCCAGGCAGAGGAAAGCGCACAGGCTGCGCCTACTTTCCCACCCTGGACCGCGTGGCCGCCAAACCTCTATCGGCCCGGCCACACGCTCCTCACCTCCACATCATTGTCTTGGTGGGGGGGAAGGGGGAGGGGAGCTGCGGTGGCCCCTGTGGAAGGACGGTCAGCTTGAGCGCGGAGCTCCGCTACCACAGAGCACAAGCTGAATAACAACGCCGACACGCGCGTGGAAGTCCAGCCCGCGCGGGTCACTGACTGCCACCCTGTCAAAGCTCCCGTGTGCCACATTCTGACCCGTTGGGGGAAGGGAGCTGCATTGGCCTGTGGAAGGACCGTCAGCTCGAGCGCGAAGCTCCGCTACCACAGAACACAAGCCCAAAAACAACGCCAACCCCGTGAGCACCGCTGCCTGCCACCCTATCACAGCTGTCGCAACCAAGCAGATCCGACCGTTCCGGACGGACAAACACACACACACACACACGCTAAGGAACAAGGCCATGCCCAAGCCTCACACACACACACACACTCTCTCTCTCTCTCTCTCTGGGAAACGCACGAACACAGAAGAAGGGGAAAAAGGGGAAGCGTCAGGGCTTCCTTTCAAAACTGCGCACAGGGCTCACACTGCAAATATTCTGTCAAACATGCGTCGCCTGCTCCACACAAACAATCGGACAGTTGCAGCTCACACGCGCCTCACACCGCAAAACGCCAAAACGTTGCGAGGAAAATGGGATTCAAAGCAAAGGCTTTGAATAAGTTTTTGGCCACGCTCCAGCACAAAATTACTTCATCACACAGCACGCAAATTAAGCGCTCTGCGGCAAACACCAACCCACGCGAGCAAGAACCCTTGGCACGTGCGGTCCAAGAAAACCAATCACTCCATGTCTGCTCATGCACGCACTGTGTAAACCGCCATAAGGCATGGTTGGACTGGACATCGTTTACTGACCACGGACTTACTCAACAAATGCACGCGGGCAGCTTCTTTTCAACTTCGTTATCAGCGCCGCCATCGCGTTGCACCTTTTCTGGCAACGCCCGCAGCAGCCACAGAGGAAACAAGCTGCAAGCTCAGAGAGCCACTTGGTCTTCATCTCCAGGCATTCAGCACACGTGAAAATCACACAGCCACAATTGGTCTTGATCTCCAGGCATTCGGCATAGGCGAAACTCACACAGCCTTCTTGGTTTTAATCTCCAGGCATTCGCGCATCTCCGACTCTGTCAAGCGCCCAAGGGCCTTCTTAATTTTGGCCAGGCGTTTCGCTTCCTTGCGGACTTGCTTGGCAACTTGCCGCTTCTCGGCTGCGAGCATCGAACGCTTCTCTTTCAGCTTTTGCAAGACTGATTGAGTGGCAGAAGCTGTGGCAGACGCTGACGCTGGAGCTTTCTCCTTCAACTTCTCCTTCTCCTCTGGCAACTTTTCCTGGCTTGATGTAAAGGCAGGAGCCGCAGGAGGCGCTGGAGCGTTGGATCCTTCCATGGGCTGTGTCCTGCAGGCTTCGCAGAGCAGGTTTCTGAGCTTCACGCTGCAAGCAACACATCGCAATCACCTTGCTAGCCAAAGTTGCTTCACAATCTGCACGCAACAGGCCTGCAGCCCAAACATAAGCTGGATTCATTTTACCCCCGGCGGCGCTGCGTTGCCGTTGCGCTTTCTGGCAACGCCGGCAGCAGCCACGGCAGCCCCAACAGG